CAGGTCATTTTGGGGTTGGGGGTGTTTCAATTCCAGCTGCTGTAGTGTCGCAATTGTCGCAGGTGCTGCAGGCGAGGGTTGTAGGGCTGCTAATGCCTTTCGCAGGTTACCCCGTTTCACCAACCCCTCCGCACGTGAGCAGATTCCCAGTGGGTCTCGCTGGTGCTGAGGTGGTTCGGCCAGGTGCATTGACCCCAAGTAGTCAGTGTACAGCTGGGTCCAGTGGCCACATCGGAATAGATGCATCTGTTCCCGCAGCAATTTCCACCTAGAGCTCCCTCGCCGGCTGAGTCTTAGCGTGAGAGGTGGCAGGAACAAGAGGACCCGCCATGCCCCCGCGCAATTAGGCAGGTTGGAGATCCGAAGTAGGGCAGCCAGCATACAGGTGGAGTAGTCGCTGAGGATCTGCGGCGGCAGTCGGCGGACGATTGGTAGATGGGTGATGGAGGTTAGGAGCGTGAGGTCCCAAGTCATCGCGATCTGGAAAAGATCCTCCCGCGAGGCCAGCTGGGACGCCGATAGTGCCTGGTCCGGGGGAAGCTGAGCTCTGCGATGCTGTCTGCGGCCCGTTCCTCTCTCCTGTTGCTGCGCTTGCCCCTCTCCTTGTTCCGCGTGAGGTGAGTCGGGATCGTCTGGCTGCCTCAGATCTGACGGTATATAATCGTCTCCACTCCCCTCTGTGTTGATATCCCTGTTTCTCCCCGCTTGCGCTGGTGTTCCTCCCCTCGCCCCCCGCCTGGCGAATGACTGGCGCGTGACTCGTTCCGCCGGCTCCCCCAACCAGATTGGGCTCGGCAACTGGCGGGGCGGTCCCCTTCCCGCTTGGCTTGCGCTCCTCTGCCCTCCGCGCGCTCCTCTATTGGGCAGTAAGCGGCTGATTCCCTGTGTACTATGAAGCCCGCGTCTTGTGCCATTGTTATACACGCATCCCGCAGCTCGTTGTGGGTATTAATCCTGTGCTTGCCCAAGCCACAGCGGAATAGGTGGTTTGGCAGCCGTCGGTCCTTGATCTCTACCCGCTTCGAGCAATCACACCTGGCAGGTGTAGAGAAGGGTAGCCCGAGCCTAAATCGGACTGCGTTAGAGAAGTGCACAGGGCCGATGCGACGGGTCGGTTCTAGTGGGATGGCCGACAACCAGTCACCCGTGCCATACCCTGTCAGCGAGAAGAATCATTGGGTATGACCTGACAGTGGGTTCAGTGACATGTGCCGCGTTGCCTGCACCTGCGTGGAATATCTCCCTCCCTGCACTCTCACCCCCAGCTCATGCTGCAGCTTCAATCCCTTCGGCTCTAACCGCTCCTTGTCAAGCACCTCCCTGGCCTCAAGCGGTAGTGCCTCTTCACAGGCGGTCAACCATTCGTGCAGGGGTGTGCTAGTGTCTCTCGGCAGCAGCATGTGGTCCCGTACTACTGTCAAGGCTATCCCTGGTTCCAGTGGCAGCTGGCTAAGGAGGAGTGCTGCATGTGTGAAACTGGCCAGGAAGGCCAGGCAGCGGCCTATTGGCCGGAGGGGTCTTCTATCAGTCTTCTCTCTCTCTCTCTCTCTCTCTCTCTCTCTCTCTCTCTCTCTCTCTCTCTCTCTCTCTCTCTCTCTCTCTCTCTCTAATGGTCCGTATATTGATAGACAAAGGAAGTACAAACATGCATGGGGCCAAACAAACCAGAATTGCGAACACAACATTAACTAACCATCTAACTAACCGGTGGTCTAGGGCTCTCCGAAGGGCTCTAGCACCGCGAAGCAATCACCTAAGATCAACTCCCCCTGGACCCCTCCCACAGGTGGGTTTTCTGCCACGGCTGCTAGGCTTGATTTAATGAGGTACCCCACTGATTGGGCCCTCTGCAGCGCCACCGACCATCGCTGCCGGAATTGGTGGAGTAGTTTAGCCGCCTGGTATGAATGGGGGTCCGCATTGAAGTGGCGGCGTGCTGTCGTCTCCACCAAGAGTTTCAAGAAGGTCGGGACCTCGGCGCACGGGCAGCCATATGTTTCAACTGCCAGGGGAAAGAAGCCCACTGAGTCCGGCCTCTTCTCATAGTGCTTTATCTTCTTGTCCGCCTGCTCCCTTGCCTCCCTTGTCCTTTGGTTGCCATCGGGTCCCGGGTGCTGATGGGGTCCGTTATTGTTACGTCACATACATAAACCGCCCCTGAGCTCCTATCCCGTAGTGTAAGGTCCGCCGTCTGCTCCTCTATCGGACAATAGGCCGCTGATTCTCCATGCACGATGAAACCGGCGTACTCTGCCATGCTTATGCACGCGTCCCGGAGCTTGTTGTGCGTGTTGATTCGTGCTTTGCCAGTGCCGCACCGGAAGAGGTGGTTGGGTAGCCTCGGGTCTGTGATCTCCACCTTCTTTGAGCAGTCACAATTCTTTGGCGTCGAGAAGGGGAGGCCGAGCCTGAAGCGTACGGCATTAGCAAAGTGCTCCGGGCACAGGCGTCATGAAGGAGCTATGGGGATGGCAAGAAGCCAGTCACCTGTGCCGTATCCTGTCAATGAAATCACCCGCTGCGTGTGACCTGAGAGGGGATTCAGCTTCATCTTCCGAGTTCTCTGGACCTGCTTCGCATAGCGGCTCCCCTGCACACTCAGAGCTAGGGCATGCTGCTGCTTGCAGCCCGTCGGTTCCCCCCTCTCCTTGTGTAGCAGTTTCAGCGCGTCCCGCGGAAGGGACCGCTCGCATTCCTTCAGCCAGGTGGGCAGACGCGAAGCCCTGTTATGCGGTGGCGCCATCTCACTTCTGACCAGCGCCAGCACCTCATCCTCTGGAAGCTGTAGTGTTTTGAGAAGCTGCGTAGCGTGCGTGAAGCTAGCCAGGAAGCCGTGCACGCCTTCAACTGAAGGGTCAGTCAGGCCAATTCCCCCGAGGGAGGGTGGGAGTGACGCCTGTTCCCAAATGCGAGTCCGTTCTTCTTCGCATGTCGGCAGTCTGGTGCCACAGGCAGTCAGCAAGGTCGCCAAGAGGTTCAGCCCCCATTCTGACCAGTCCGATAAGGGCAGTAGGTGCAGCGGTGTAGTTTGAGATAAATAGGAGACCCTTCGTGAGATGCAGCGTGTGAGGAGCAGTGAGGCTACCTGTGGGTCTGTTTGCTCTAGAAGCCGTAATGGTGTCGACAGTCGCGCCAGTTGGCCTGTTAGGAAATCTGCTGCGCCTATGTCTGTTCCGATGAAACTGCCAAGCATCCGTACTCCGGTGTCACAGAGTGGCACTCCCGGTGGTAGCTCGTCTATCGGCACCTCACAATCGCTCCACACAGCGCACTTTGAGGGGTTGTGGTGCAGGCCTAGCTGCTCTAAGCCGTCCGTGAAGTGCCTGAAGGCCGCTACGGCTGATACGCGGTCGCCTAGAAACGTTACGTCATCGGCATAGGCTAAGCATAACACAGACGGGAACTCGGCTGCCGTGGCGCGGAGCGTGGGGTGGATGCTAACAGCGAAAAGCAGGGGTCCCAAAGGGTCCCCCTGCCGTACTCCTTGCTCGCTGCGCAGTGGTCCGCTATCAAAGCCTGAGTCAAGGTGCAGGAGTGATGGGCTGCCGTACGAGAGGCGCACAAGGGGCAGTAGCGGCTTGAGGGCTGGGTCGTCTAGCGATGCGGCGATTGCCTGTCGAGACACGCTGTTGAAAGCGTTAGCTAGGTCGGTCTGGAGGACTAGGCAGTCTGGGTTACTGTCTGTGAAACTTCGCGCTGCGTGGATAACTGCTTCTGCTCCGCCCGGTACCGCCACCCCATATTGCAGCGGCAAAAAGTACTCGCGAGCTGCTTCCCCTATATGTGTCAGTGCAGCCTTGGCAGCTAGACGCATTAGGCTTTCCCCGATCGCGATTGGCCGCACACCTCCATCTGGTTTGGTGAGGGCAATCAGACGGTATGCCGTGAGCAGCTCGATTTCTGTTTGGGGTAGGTTCCCTCCCAGTAGAGTGTTTACCATTGTGTGCAGGTGAGTGCAGACAGCGTCGTTTGTCAGTGAGGCGTCGCGTAATTGTTCGAATGTCATGCCAGATGGCCCCGCCCCCACCCCGTTTTCGCAGCGACAGAGCAATTTGACGAAATCTGATTTGCCGGTGGCGATGGACTGCGTGGTTGTGTCAGCGGGCCACGTCAGTGGTGCCGTGTCGGCTGGTGGGTGTTTTTGGCGGAGGGCGTTCAGAGTTTCGGGCGTGGGGGTGCAGACCGGGGTTGACTCCAATGCCAGCACGGCACGACGCAGGCTGCCGCGCTTCGCCAGTCCCTCCGCGCGACTGATTTTCCCTTTGTCGTCTTGTTGGAGTCGTGGCGGTGCAGGCGAGTCAACTGCTCCGACCGCGTCTTGGTACAATGCTTCCCATTGACCTTGTTGGAACAGCTTCAGCCTTTTCTTCATGTTCGGCCAATCAGGTCGACGTGGCGAGGACTGACGAAGGGTTAAGCGCGGGATGAAAGGAGTTGGCAGATTTTGGGTGGTAATCGTCTGGCGAGGGGCGGTTGGCGACTGTCGTAAAAGGGGGAAATATCCCAGTCTGCAACTTTGGCGAACCAATCGTCATGCTTCGCCATTTCTTCTGCCGAAAAATATTTTGGCCCTTGGGCTGCAGTCTGCTGCAGCCGCGCCGCATTTGCACGATTTTGCCCACGGCCGCGGCTCGGCGTTGCATTCGGTGATGGGGTTGGAATCGGAGCCGTCGGATCCCCGCCCGCACGTACTGCCCTCTGCTGTCCGTGGAGATTCCCGTCTGACTGCCCTGGTGTGCTTCCCTGCCCCGCTGCTACCTCACGCACAGGTTGTGGTTCTGCTCGAGCAGCTCCGAGTTCCTCCTCGTCGGACTCACTCTCGTCACTGAGGAGAGCTTCTTGATCAGGCCTATAAGAAGGGTCCCGCGCCTCTTCTCTGTCATTAGCTTCTTCCAAACTTTTTAAAGCCCGTCTTGCCGCTGCTTGGTAGCCGTTTTCCGGACCGCCACCATCACCACTAGCTTCCCGTCTCCTTGCATTCTGACGCCTTGCATCCCGAGATGGTGATTGCTGGCCCGCCTGAGCCGTCGCCAACGCGCGCTGCCGCTGTGTCAGCTGTGGTGCGAAAGTCACCGCCCGCGCCTGTCTCGGTGGTTGCGGCGATGAAACCCCCGTTGCCGCCTGCCTCGAAGTCTGCTCCAGCGGCTGATGCACTCCTTGTGGCCCCACCTCCTGAACTCCCGGCTGCAGAGGCTCAGCTGGCTGCCGTGTCTGCTCCGTCCGCTCCTGCTCCGGCGGACCCCGTTCCCGCTCGTCTTCCCGCCGCGGTGGTCCCCCCCGCTGCTGTTGACGCGCCTCTTGCTCCCGTTCGCCTGGAGCCTGAGCGCGTGGCCCCTGCTGCGGTTGTTGCGCCACTTGTCGGCCCCGTCCCTGCTGCCCCGATGAACGCCGCTGCCCCTGCTGCTGCTGGCGGCGACCTGGTGCTAGCGGCGGTGTCCGCCACCACTGGCGGCCCGGCCCCGGCGGTGGTGCCTGCCGAGGCTGTTCAGTCGGCGCCTGCAGCGCCGCCGATGGTTCCGTCTGGGCGGCAATGTCGTCCACAGTCTCTCTCTCTCTCTCTCTCTCTCTCTCTCTCTCTCTCTCTCTCTCTCTCTCTCTCTCTCTCTCTCTCTCTCTCTCTCTCTCGAATGGCCCTTGCATTACTATGAGGGGTGATACCAAGGAAGATGCAAAACACACAAGCACAACAAACATCCAAACCGAGAACCTAACTACCTCAAGTCTCCTACCTACTCAGCCCCCCCCCCCCCTGTCCGACCCTACTGGTCGAACGGGGCCTCGATCAACTGGTGCAGCTGTCCCTCACTGAGAGGGATGATGGGTCCTCGAAAGCCGAGCTCGTCCGCCGCCAAGGCCTCGTTGGTCTTGGTGCGGAGGGCGTTGGCCTGCGCCCGCTGGAGGCACACGCTCCAGTGCTGGCGGTACTCCGTCAGCAGCTTCGCTGCTTCGTAGGAGGTAGGAGCCGCGTTAAACCGCAACTTTGCCGCCAGCTCCGCGCATTGCCGCAGGTAAGCCAACACCCCCTGCGAGGGGTAGCCATAAGTTTCCACTGCAAGCGCGTGGAACCCCACCCACGCGTTCCGCCGTGCGTACTTATCCTCCTTTTTTGCTGCTGCCGCCCTAGCCGCCCATCCAGGAGCTCGGTTGCAGTTCTCGTCCTGCCTTGACACCGGGTCCGTCACGGTCACGTCGCACATCCAAACCTCACCAGTCAGGGGATGGCGGATGGTGACATCCGCCTTTAGGTTTTCAACCAGTGAGTAGACATACGTCTCCTTGTGAACCGTAAACCCCGCCTCAGCCCCAATGTTCGCTATCTCATCCCGCAGAGCGTGATGGGTTGCCGTCCTCCCTTTCCCCTTCTCGCAGCGCATGAGGTGGTTGGGGAGGCGGTCGTCGGGGAAGGTGGTGCGGTAGCGGCAGTCACAGCGTCTAGGCACTGGGAGGGGGAGGCCTAGGCGGAAGGCAGCTGCAGTTGAGAGCTGGGACGGGCCCATCCGGAGCGAGGGGGTGAGCGGGATCGCCAGCAGCCAATCCCCCGCGCCTGGGCCCAGCACCGACTGCATCCGTTGCGCGTGGCCAGAGCGGGGGTTGGGGCGCATCCGCCGTGCCTCGCGCATGACTCTCAGGAAGCGGCGGGAGTGAACCGCCAGCGCTAGGTTCTGCTGCAGCTTCAGTCCTTTGGGGTCAGCCTTCCCGGCCTGGAGCACCTCGAGAGCCTCAGGGGGCAGGGCTGCCTCAGCCGCGGCGAGGGGTGCAGGTAGCGGGTGTGGGGAGCCGTGGGTTGGGTCCAAAAGGGGGAGGAGCGCGGCGACAGCGGGGTGCAACGAGTCCTCCAGGGAGTGCAGGAGGTGGGCTGTGCTTATCACTGAGGCGAGGTAGGCGTAGCTGCCTTCAACGGCGGGGTCAGTGATGCCCAGGCCTCCCAAAGTCACTGGCAGGGCCGCCTGCCGCCAGATCCTCCGTCTCTCCCTGGCGCTCCTCGGGCTCATGATGTGGGCCGAGTCTAGGAAGGTGTGAAGGAGATGTTCCCCCCAAGCGGACCATTCGGCTTCAGGGAGGGCCTCTAGGGGGGTGGTTCTGGCCAGAAAGGAAGCTCGGCGGCTGACACAGCGGGTGAGGAGGAGGAGGGCGAGTTGGGGGTCCATCTGTGCCAGTAGGGGGAGTGGCGTTGCAGCTGCTTCCAATCTCGCTCTCACCGCATCTGCGCAGCCCTGGGCAGTGCCCACGGGGCTGCCGAGGATCTGCAAGCCCTCTTCAGAGATAGTGACGCCTGGGGGGATTGAGGAGGCGTCTATTGCTGCGGCGGACCACGCCGCGCACTTGGCCGGATTGTGTACCAGGCCGAGGGCGGCTAAAGCAGAGGTGAGGTGGTCGAAAGCCGCAGTGCAGGCCGCGGCGTCGCCGAGCAGGGTGATATCATCGGCGTACGCCAGCAGGACCACCTGAGGGTGTGCAGCCGCCGTGTCCACGAGGCACGGGTGGATGCTAGCCGCGAACAGGAGCGGGCCGAGCGGGTCCCCTTGGCGAACACCCCTGGCGCTCTGTAGCGGGGCTGCGCCGAAGTCGTGGTCGAGGTAGAGCGAGGAGGGAGTCCCATAGGAAAGGCGGACGAGGGGAATCAGTTCCTTCAGCGCCTCGTTTTTCAGTCCTTCAAACACCGCCCTCCTTTCGACCGCGTTGAACGCATTCGCGAGGTCAATCTGCAGCGCCACTGCCCCTGGGTGCTCTTCCAGGTACGTGCGAGCGGAGTGGATAGCCGCTTCGATCCCTCCTGCTACTGCTACTCCGAACTGAAGGGGAGCAAAGTGAGTACGAGCGGCCGGCGCAGTCAGGAAGAGCGCGGCTTTTGCTATTATCCGGAGGAGGCACTCCCCCACCGCAATCGGCCGCGTCCCTCCCTGTGGTTTCATAAATGCTAACAGGCGGGATGCCGTTAGAAGTTCCCCCGCGACTGTGGGGAGTTTTCCTGCTAGAGCTGTGTTAGTGAGGGCGAGGAGGTGGGTGAGTACTTCGGCATTCCCCAGGGCTGCGTCGCGGATGTGCTCGAAGGTGGTTCCAGATGGGCCGGCCCCTACTCCGTTGGGGAGTTTGGCGAGGAGGCGTCTGAAGTCGCGAGCTTCGATAGTGGGTGGGTCTTCCGCTGTGGCGGTGCGGAGCCAATCGGGAAGTGGTTGGCGGGCAGATGGGTGTCTCGTCGTGAGGGCTTCCAACACTTCAGGTGAGGCGGGAGACACAGGAGTGGCCTGGAGGGATTGGAGTGATTTTGACAGGTTACCCCGTTTTGCGAGTCCTTCTGCCCTTGCCAGTATCCCCGTTTTGCGAGTCCTTCTGCCGTTGCGGTGGCAGTCCCCCCAGAGGCCTTGGCGAAATCGCAGGAGCCGATTCATCATCGCGCTCCAGTCAGGTTTGCGGGCTGACGAGGTGCGGAGGAGTAAGCGCGGGAGAAATGTCAGTAAGTTCCATCCTGGTGGTGACTCTCTCTCTCTCTCTCTCTCTCTCTCTCTCTCTCTCTCTCTCTCTCTCTCTCTCTCTCTCTCTCTCTCTCTCTCTCTCTCTCTGCCTTTCCTCCTGCCCCCAAATGTCAGCTGTGTTTTTCAGAGACTGCCAGAAAGCATGGGGAAAAGCGCTCCCAGGTTGGGCCGTGGGTGCTAACTGTAACGCGACTAAACAACTCGCCTGCGACGATTTAGGCATGATTACCAGGATGTAAGTGTGATAATGCTCCATCGAGGATGGATTGGACCCCACACAAGCTGCTAGTGTTTTGCTTTGATGAATTTCTGCGTGCATTGGTGGGATTTGCGCCTTGACTATTTCCAGTTCGTGTCTCCGTCCGATTTCCTCAACTCTTCACTTCTTTGAACCCCCACCCACCCCACATAGATCTCTGACGGCGAACCTGAATGGGTATATTCCTCACTGCACTAATTGAACCGTAAGAACCTCACAGTGAAACTATGAGCTCGTCTTTTTTTATGCTTAGCTAGTCGAATCAGCGGATCAAGGCAGCTCTGTAGAGAAACCCATTGACTCACGTCGGTGAACAATAACAACAAAAATGCCTCACGACTGTCACATGTAAACGCTGGTTGTTGCATCCGACAAAATGCAATGGTATGAAATCCCAATGCCATTACTTTTCACCCCTTAAAAATAAAAACATTTCTTCCTCTCCCATTCAGATTTCTTCTTCCATCTGAATGTCCTCACCTCAACCCTTTGTGCCCCTTATTCTCTCGCACTTCTCATGTCTTGTTTTCCTCTGAGTGCTACACAAAGCTTCCCACCATGCTTGCACAACCATCCTCTTGGGTTGCTGGTGTGTGCTTTCTGTCCCTCAGTCCATGCCCACCATTCTCATTTCCAAACTTATTTTGTTCGCCCCAACCCGCCCACGCACATAGGTCTTTCTCAAACAACAAGTTGACCGGCTTCATTCCCAATGGCATCGCCAAGCTTTCTTCTCTCACCCGCCTGTATGAAGCACCTCGTTTCACCGTGGTGGTAAGCGCGGACATTTTCAAAGGTCGCATGCATTCTACAACCCCTCAGAAAATATTCTGAAGCACATGACGTAGATGCCACACGCTAGGGTTGAGCAAGGGCCCTGGTCGATCCGAACCGAGCTGGCCACCAACCCGGGTCAAATCTGGTTCGGCCCGCCCCGGGCTGGACGGGCAGATTGGCGGTTTGGTTCGCCCATGTACAAGGCGGGCCGGTTGGAGTCCGGCCCGGGGTATAATCACAGGTGAAATTTATGTTTAAGATTCTTAGCCCTAAAACGAGAAGCCAAAGTTGCTAACTGCTGGATCTGTAATCCTTAATTCGCAATGCGGACGGAAGTTGGTTGATTATGAACACCAAATGCGACGAACCGGTTTATTTCATCGAGGCGCGGGATATACCCATAATTGAACTGGAACGAACTGCCGAACTGTATCGTTAATCGAACCGCGGTTCAGTTTCCTGCTCATGCTTAACTAGATCTGGAAAGTTTGACCTATGTCGGATGCTTAGACCTGAAATGGGTTGGTGTGCTGGTTTGGAAGCTTAGATTCAATGTGGTGGAGGTTCAGCTGGGATGCGAAATTTGGTTGAGTTATTTGCTGGTGAGAGTTGGGGTGCGGGGTAGGCATTTCAACTTCATTGAGCTACGATTTGCGTCTAGACTGAGCTTAGAGACCACTGGAATGAGCTTCAACGTCCAATGTCCAAATGACGCGCACGTCCAACCCGTGCCATTTCGGCCCGCGTGCGCATGGCGAACCGGTTCGGCCCCGTTTTCTCTTGACAGACCGACCCCGGTTCGGGTAATCGAAACGTATACGAACACGTCGTTGGCAGCCAACCCAGGCTGAAACTCCCACAGCTCCTCTTCATGGCCCTCCCCCTCCCATCCCAGGTTCGTCGAGAACCACAAATTCCTTGAACTGGGTGTGAGACTTGAAACGTTTTTGCCTACCTTCAAATGGTCTGTTTATTATGGTCATAAAGAAGAAAACCACCAACTGTGTAGAACTTCCGGTCACAAAAGTACGGTCTCAATCATGGCCACAAGCGAAAACATGCAAGAAAGTGTCCATCCTCTTCCACATGCGAGATTTTTCCATTAACGCTGTTTCATGAACGGCAGTGTTTTCTTATTAAACAGAAAAGACCACTTGGAATCGTTCTAATATGTTTCAAACAGAGTTTTATATAATACTGTTAGTTGAGGTGATTGAAAACAACAGACCGTTGTTTTTTTTCAACTCTCCTCCCACCATGCTTGTCTCATTTCATCCTTCAATTGGTTCCACCCTGTGTGCTTGCTGTCATTGGTCTGTGCCCACTATTCTCATCTCCTCACTTATTGCACCCCAACCCATCCCACGCACACATAGGTCCCTTTCAAACAACGCTCTGACAGGATCCATTCCAATTAACATTTACCAGCTTCCTCTGCTCGGTTATCTGTATGAAACTCCTCGTTTGAGCGTGGTCTTAAGCATGCATGGTCAAATATCACAAGCATTATGTAAGCGAGTTTTGTTTTGTTTTTGAGTTAAACTGGAGTCGTCTCTGATCCTATTCACCAAATGTCATGTCGCTTTCGAGATACGAAAAAGAGTGGAGTAAAAACTCGACTAGTTGACCATGTTAATCCGACCCTATAAGCCCGAATCGGGCGACTTTCCCGGGGTCTTGAACTGACCCCGAGGTGGGGTCGACCCGACCTGACTTGTATCCATCTTGGGTCGGAATGGGCCAGGACGGTTCGGGGCGGATCGACCCATTGTTCAAGCCTAGCCTGGCCATCCTCTGCGGGCCGTCGGTATCCCAGGTATGTACGATCCGCCCTTATTGAGGTTGGGCCGGGGCAGGCCAGTTTCTGGCCCCGGACGGACAGGGTTGTGCGTGTCACTTCAAACACTTCAACCCTTCGGGGGATGAGCACGTAGGCATGGCCCGATTTGGCCGGGCCATTCGGGCCCTCGGGTCGGGTCGGGTCGGGCCGGGTTCGGGCCAGATTCCTGAAACAGCTGGCCCGACCCGGGCCTAAGAACTCGGGTCAGAGGTTACCCGAGTTCGGGTCGGGCCGGGTCGGGTCGGGTCAGGAAACCCGATTTCGCTCGCGCTCTGTGCAGATCGGCGCTTTCGTCCGCCGATATGCGCAGATCGGCGATTTCTCCCGCCGATCTGCGCGGATCGGCGATTTCTCCCGCCGATCTGCGCGGATCGGCGATTTCTCCCGCCGATCTGCGCGGATCGGCGATTTCGCCCGGCGATCTGCTCAGATCGGTGAGTTCGTTGGCGTAACTCTGCAAATTGTCAATTTCGCTGGTCGATCTGGTGGAGATTGGGAGTTTCGCCGTGACACTCGTTTCCGACGAATGTGTTGGAACAAATATTTCCAACCAATTCGCCACTGCTCACCACTCCTTACCGCATTAAATCTACCATTCCCAACCCTCCCCCTCCCACTCTTTACAGATCTCTCGAAATTGAGCCTCTCCACAAAGTCGTCTTCTAACTTGTCGCATCATTCTTTGGCTGCAAACTAAGTAGTTATGGTTCCTAGGTGCCTTTGGTCGCTGGAGGAAGGATATTAGGTTTGCGGCAATGAATTGATGTCGAGGGGAAAAAAATACCCTTGAAATAGAATGTGTTAGGGTTTCGGGTCCCCCCTGTGTCGAAATCGGGTCGGGTCTGACCCTACCCGATTTCCCAAATCTTGACCCGATTTCGGGTCGGGTCAAAGCTGACCCGAAACCCGACCCGACTCGGCCCGAGTCTCATGCTCGGGTCGGGTTTTAGCCCGGGTCGGGTCGGGTCGGCCCGCACGGGGCAGGCAATTGAAACCGCTGACCCGACCCGGGCTAAACCACGGGTCGGGTCGGGCCGGCCCGACCCGAGCGGGGCAAATGCTCATCTCTAGGCATGGGCAACCGACCCGAACCAACCCGACCCGACCCAACCTGACCTGACCCAATTTGGCCAGGCCAGGCGCGTTTCGGGGTCGGGTCAGGCCGTGGTTTTGAAATCCCTGACCCAACCCTGGGAGACAAGGTCAGGTACAGGAAACCCGCTTTCCCCCGCGTTCTGTGCAAATCGGCGCTTTTCCTCCTCCTCCTCCTCCTCCTCCTCCTCCTCCTCCTCCTCCTCCTCCTCCTCCTCCTCCTCCTCCTCCTCCTCCTCCTCCTCCTCCTCCTCTCCTCCTCCTCCGCATCCTAAGTTGCGATAACACGTCTAGCGTATAAACGCTATCCGCTTAGAGGTCGGTTTCGAGATACGTTTGTTCGGCCATGTGTTCACTATTCTCAATCTCATCCCCCAATTTTATCGACCGCCTGTGCTTGCTGGGCCTCATTCTTTCGGTGCGCACACACAGGTCTCTTTCATACAACGCCTTGACGGGCTCCATTCCCACTGACATCCGCACGTCTACGGTTCTCACTTATCTGTATGATGAAGCAACTCCTTTAGGCCTGATACAAGCATACATGATAAAAGATTTACATTTTACCGCGAGAAACATGTTAGACGCCATCAGTGAGCAAGAAAACGAGTTTCTGGTAACCAAAACGTTTATGGCCACGCCATTGGTAGCCAAGCCAGGTTGAATATCCTGCAACCTCTTTCAGACCACAATTTCGCCAAACTGGGTGTGCGGCTCGAACCGGTTCGGGCAATTAGAGCCGAACATAAACGCCTCGTGCCACCCCCCAATTAAGTTCGCCGTGTGAGTTTTCTGTTGCTCAGTGTATGCCCTCTATTCTATCTCATCTCATCACGTATTCCGCCCCAACCCATACCACACACAAGGGCTAAAAAAAGCGACAGTTTTTTTTTTTTTTTTTTTTTTTTTTTTTAATTATTATTATTATTATTATTTCCCGTAAAAAACGGTACCGTAAGCAGCGACCGTTTAAAACGGTTTAAAACGGTTCCAGGAGGTGTTTTCAGTTTAGTTAACAAATCGGCCACTTTATGGGACCAAATTGAACCCGAATTTTAGCATGATGAAGGGGACAGGCCCTTTCTTGAATGTGTGCACTTGTTGGCATGATTGAATGTGTTTGACGGACACTTTCCCACTTTTTCTTGGTGACCAGAGTTCTCTAACAAAAACGGCCGTTTTTTTTGAAAAAATAGCGTAAAAAACGGACCGTATTTTACGAAAACTATATCTTTTTTACCTTGCCACACACACAGGTCTCTTTCAAACAAGTTCACGGGCTCCATTCCCAGCGACTTATGCACGCTTCCTCAGCTTGCTAATCTGTATGAGGCACCTCGTTAAGGCTGGGGCTAAGCATGCACGATGATTGGTGACACCTTGTATGGGCCGTGTGGGTGTGGGGGTTTCAATCCCATCAGTTAAAAGTCCCTTCGTATTGAAGGGCTGCGTCCATTTCGAGCCATAGCCCCTCATGCATCGTTTCTGTTACCCTTGGTGCAATATGAGGCTTCTTTTTAGTTATAGAGTTGAGGTGAACATATTAAAGCTATAGACGAGCAAATGATCGTCTTTCTCTCCCCCACTCCTCATTCTCCCTCCCCCCTTCTCATTCCCTCTCTATCCACGCTTTTCTTCACCTTCCATGGACTGTTCTTCATCTTCCATTCGTTCCTCGTTTTTTAACAGGCATAGGGATAAGCATCTGTAGGCTTGAGCAAAGCTGCGATCCCCCTTTCGATTCGTCACGAACGAGTTTAAAATGAGCTCGATCCCAACTTTACGCTCTCCAAGTATCCAACCAGCTGGCCAATGCCGCGCTGGGTTTTCCGCAAACATTTTGGTGCTACCATAAGACGCCTAAATAATCACAAACATGTTCAGTAATTATGATGAGATGCCTATAAAAGTCGCGACACCGAACATGTTCAAGACGAACATCGAACACGTTCGGCCGAACATTTTTTTGCCAGAAAATTCGAGACGAACTAAACAGGCGTTTGAGCCTTTGCTTATGTATACTCCCAGAAAACGGGCGAACACCGAACATGTTCGGTTGAACAACCACGAATAGTCTTGTGGGCGAACCGAACATGTTCGGTTCGCCCGAACATGTTTTGGCGATTTTAGGTGTTCGGTGTTCGTGATAGGGGGGCGAACACTGCATGTTCGGGGCGAACCCGAACATGTTCGAGGTTCGAGAGTGTGTTTTCAGTGGGCCTTCTCCTCCCCCGCGGCCTCCCTCCCCCCCTTTCCGAACATCGAACATGTTCGGCCGAACATTTGTCGCCAAAAAACATGTTCGGTTTGGTTCTGTCACGAACATGTTCGGACGAACCGAACAGGCGTTCGGATTTTCGCTGATGTCTACTCCCAGGCATGAGCAGAAGAGCGAGCCCAATCCCGTTGGAGTTTTTAAAATTGGTCCAAACCCAATAGGCTTCACGTCAAAATCAGTGTGTCAATTTGGCACGCTAGTTCATTCATATACCTCAGGCCACAATGATCTTGCCAAGATCCTAAGCCACACCTGCGCTTTTTACGATTGATGCTAGTCACATTAAGCTGAGATCAGTATACAAGGCAGGGAAACACATGAAAGGACAGATTGGTTAGATTGTCAAAAGTAGGAATTTTGAGGATATATTGGGATGGGGAGGGGAAGATGATGTGAGCAAGGGACGTTCGGTTAGAAGGGTGCGCGGAATTGATCCCAAGGAAGAAAGAAGGGTCGTGCGAACGCATTTAGTTTTGGTTAATGAAAATGTTTGAGTGAGCTCGAGATAAGGTAGTTCGATTTCTCTTAATGCTCATGCCAACCTCCCACCATGCTCTTGTCATCCTCCACTTGTGTGCTTGCTGTCGCTCCCTCCGTGCCCACTAATCTCATCCCCTCACTTTTTCTGCTCCAACCCATACCACGCACATACAGGTCTCTTTCAAACAACGCTTTCACCGGATCCATCCTGAATAACATTTACTGGCTTTCTGTACTCTCTCAACTGTATGTAGCCCCTCTTCTGAGCCTGGTGCTAAGCATGCATGGTAAGAACTCACATGACTTCATAGAAGATATCCTTCACATAATCTAGGTGCCTACTTCCCACCATGCTCGTCTCATCCCCCAATTGGGTCGACCGTGTGTGCTTGCTGTCCCTCAGTTCATGCCCTTGATTCTCATCTCCTCACTCCGCTTCAACCTTTACCACACACACACAGGTCTCTTTCATACAACGCCTTGATGGGCTCCATTTCCAGTGACATCTACGAGATTATTGGTCTCACTTATCTGTATGAAGCACCTTGGTTAAGCCTGATGCAAAGCATGCATGATCATAGATCACTTGAAACTTAAAACCCGCAAAAACGAGTCTTTAGATGCCACAAGCAACCAAGAAATCAAGGAGTTTCAGGAAATCAAAGCGTATATGGTACGCCATTGTAGACATGAGCAACGAGTCGAGTACTCGACTCGTTTTCGTTACTCGTTTTGGACGAGTAACGAGTCGGCTGTTTCCGAGAATTAGTTGGATTTGTCGAGTCGAGTAATACTCGACTTTAAATCGAGTACTCGCGATTTACTCGTTTTCGAAAGCGAGTAACGAGTAATTTCATTACTTGCGAGTAATTTTATTACTCGTGAGTAAACGAGTACTCGATTTCGACATCGGAGGGGGGATGGAGGGGGGTTGGTGGGGGGAAAAAGTTACAACTCGATCTGCCAACAGTCAGGTCTAGGTTATCGATCTGCCAATGGCAAGAAATATGAGCGATCTGTCGCAAGAAATTGAGTCAGCAAACAAAATCGCCAGATCTGCCAAATGGACATGGAGTAACAAGAAAACACCCGCAGAACTGTTGTGAGGCATTATGTGTCCCCCAATTTGTTTTTGCAAATGTTGAACTCGGCAAAAATTTAATGCTCGTGGATAATTTGTTCTCGGCGAAATTGGAAATTGTCGGCTGACCCTTTTCGCAACGCAATCAGTGCAGCTTGCTGCACGCGTCCTCCCTCCCGCCACACCAATCTCCGTCCCTCCTCTCCCCAACCACCAGTAAGTCCTCCACTTTTGTCGTCTGTAACCGATCTCACCTAATAGATCTATGTCAGAACTTGAGCTTAGAATCCATGCATTAGTAATGAGCTCAAGGCTCTTTAAGTACATTGGAAATGGGCAAGGTAAGGGTGGGGAGAGAATCAGGGGCAATCCTAGGGGATTGGGGGTAATCCCAAGGCAATCTCCAATTGGTGGGTTGGAGATTGCTTGGAGATCACATTTGGGTTTGGTTGGGATGTGGGTGTACACCCAATCAAACATAAAGTGCAAACTACACTAAGCTAGGATATAAAAAGTACAAGTACAAATGTGAGATTGAGGGCTAACATTAACAATCTAGTAGTACAATTCGATGGTGATTACTCCTTCCTCATACTCTAGTAAGAGCTGGTAATTAACGGTCTGGACTCATACCCTAGAATTGAATAAAAACTAGACTCACTGCTCATGGCTAGCGCGCGCCAATGTGCGCACATACATTAGTCCAATATGCGGCTGGACGAGGAAAAAACAAGGGGGGGAAAACACACACACACAAAACGAGTCGAGTATTACTTGTTTCAAAACGAGTATTTCATTACTCGGACCGAGTAATGAAATACTCGCATTTTTTTTCACGAGTAACGAGTCGGGACTAGGGTTCAAATTACTCGTACGAGTAATACTCGACTCGACTCGTTTTCAAAACAAGTCGGCTGAAAACGAGTCGAGTAATACTCGTTTTGGCATTTGCTCATGCCTACGCCATTGCGTGCCATGCCATGCTGAATATCCCACAAGCTTTTTCTGGCCCCTCCCCCTCCCAACCCAAGCTTCTGGCCACAAATTCGTCGAACTGGGTTTGCGGCTCAAACCGGTTCGGGCAATTAGAGCCCAACATGAACCCGTTCACCTCGAACCGAACTGCAATTCCGTTTTGACTAATGCCTATCTCCCAGCATGCTCCTGTCACCCCCAATTGGGTCGACAGTGTGTGCCCTCTATTCTCATCTCATCACTTATTCTGCCCCAACCCAACCCATACCATACCACACACACAGGTCTCTTTCAAACAAAAAGTTCACGGGCTCTATTCCCAGCAACATATTCACGCTTCCTCGGTTCTCTTATCTGTATGAGGCACCGTTTAAGGCCCGGGCTAGGGTTGAGCATTTGGGCGACCTAGTTCGGCCTGGGTCAAGCCGGTCCGAAATTGCCTGGGGCCAATCCTGTAAGTTTGGCTTGACGGCCCGGGGCGGGCTGAACCGTCCTGGCCCGCCGAACCTGTGGCGACCCGCTTTTGGCCCGCGGGGTTAGGGGTGGGCTGGGCCAGCCCGCCTCGAGGCGTGGCTGGGGACGGGCCTTGTTGGCCTGCTTTTGACCCCCACGATATTGGCGGGGGGGTCATTTATGAGCTGCGCAACAATGTGTTGGAGCTCATTTGCAAGCTCCAACTTCCAGCAGCTCATGCACGTATCTTCTCGCCACTCTTCTCGCACCCAGATGGTTGTTTTTCCTAGCTTACCGCTTACCCAGACCCTTAGCAAAGTGCACAATGCTAGGCGGTTGTCCATGACAAATTTCCATATCTAAAACTGCAGTTGGGCCCGGACACCCCCATGGCGAACCTGGGCCTAGTTCTTGCTCCTTCGGCCCAGGGCGGGCCGGGCAGGGCTTCAACCCGCTTTTTGGGGCACCCCGGCCCGGCCCGACCCGGCCGAACCCTGCCCTGCCCGTGCTCGACCCTAGCTGGGGCTAAGCAGGCACGATGACTGGTGATACCTAGAGTGTGCTGTCTAGAAGTTTGAACTCCATTAGTTAGAAGTCCCTTCATATTGTCTGGTTTGAAGGGCTGCTTCCATTTTGGGTTATAGCCCCCCCCCCATGCATATGTTATGTATCCTCTGCTGCCATGATTGCTTCTATTCAGTTTTAGGGTTGAAATAGCTCATTGAACCTGTTGGCAGAAAGTGTTCGATTCAAACCGAACAACACTTATGTTTTGTGCAGAAAGTGTTCGATCCAAACATAAAATTGTTCGGGTCAAACATGTTCAAGTGTTCGCCAAAAACATTCGAACCGCGTCGATCAGGAACATGTTCGAGTGTTCGAAAATCTTCAAATCAATCAAGGTTGAAGTGCAACGTCATTGGAAAGGGAGGGGCTCGAGGAGGAGGACCTGGAGGAGGCAGAGGTGGTTGGGAGGCTTTGAACAGTGCGGATGGGGCTGTGGAAGGTTGGAGAGGGCCTGCTCGAAGGAAATGCGGAGATAACTGAAGCAACGGGAGCAAGGCTACGGGCTAGGCACGGGTGCTCGTGTGATCTCTGCGTTCGTTCACTTAGTCGTTTCCTTGTGTTCACGCTGCTTGCTAGTTCACGGGGAGAATTGGCAAGAGTTTCACTAGAAAAACATGACAACAATGATCGCAACAACATTGGCACTACTGACTACATCAGAGCTAGCAAGGCTGCTGGTCGACCTCCAGCGCAGCATGGTCGACCGCGCTCCAGCGCAGCAGCGCTCGCACCGCTCCAGCGTTCCAGAGTAGCGATGCGCCAACGTTGCAAGTCCACGGTGTGCCAACGCTGCAGCAAGTCGGCTGCACAGCGTTGCACCCGCAGGACAACGGTGCACCTGCTTCGCAGGTGCGCGCAGCTGGTTGGCGCGCCACACCTTGTCACGAGCACAGCGCAGATGCCTGGCAGACTCCACGCCAGCGATTGCGCCCACCAGCCACGTCGACCTTGGGATACCACCCCCGAAGTCGGCCTCGCAGACTCCACCCCGGCGACACTCGCACACGTCGCCCGGGTATCCCGGTCGACCGGGCAACCACGCCTGGTCGACCCGCACAGTCTGTAGCCCGGCCACACATGCCCGGCGTCCCCAGTTCAGCATCCAGGCGTCCAGGACGCCGTGCAGACCTCCAGAGCGGCGTCCAGCCTCCCAGGACGTCGACCAGACGCCCAGGTCGGCATCCGGGCCCCCAGGACGCCCAGGTCGGCGTCCGGGCCCCCAGGACGCCGTGCAGATGCCTAGGGCGGCGTCCCAGGCTCCTAGGATACCGTGCAGACGCCTAGGTCGGCGTCTGGCCTTCCAGGACGCCGTGCAGGCGCCCACGACGTCAAACAGGCGCCCGGGTAGTCGTGCCGACGCCCAGGTCGGCGTCCAGCTTCCCAGGACGCCATCTAGGTGTCCAGGACGCCAACCAGGCGTCTAGGACGGCATCCTCCTGCTCGGCGCCCTCCAGCCAGGCGCCCTCCAGCTCAGCGCCCTTGCAGTGGCCCCCGTGCCCACTGCTGCAGGTCGGCAGCAACCCCCGCACATCCGACCACGAGGTCGGCTCCGCCCAAGCGAGGACGGGGCCAAACAACACTCCCGTTGACAGGAAACTTGTTCGAGTTCGAGTCAAACACATTGGTGTTCGACCCAAACAATTAAAAGAATGTTAGACTATACAGTGGAACACTCGAACACCTGTTTTTCGAGATTGGTTCGAACCAATCAGTTTGGTAAGGCAAGCATCTGCCCGAGTTCAAAACAAACACGTTCGAGTTCGGGTTTTGTTCATCCATATGGTCCGATCGACTCTAGTGACCTTCGGGTTGGCCTGACCTGTCCCGTCACCTCATGTCACAGCCAGCCCGACCCTATAAGTCGGAATCGGGCGACTTTACTGGGGTACTGACCTGACCTGAGTACACATGAGCAACAGCCAACCTCGAACATGTTTGACACAAATGCATTCAACATGTGTCTCAGTCGGATCGAGCTGAAATAGTCGGACCCAAACCCTTTTGAAAAGGTAAGGTTGGACTGTTAGACCAAAATGTTGAACGAACCCTATTGTGTTTGGGTCGAACATTAAGGTGTTCAACTCGAACTCGAACAGGTTGAAGTTTTACTCTCCATTCAAAGTTGGAGGTTTCTGCTGATTAACTCTTAACATTTGACGAAACCAACCGGTGCCACATTCTTGTCGCATTGGTTGGGTCGAATAAAATTTTAAACGGAAAGCATTGCCTACTTCTCGTCAAACTCGCTATCACTTCAAGCCGACGGTGTTCATATATCTCCTCCGTCACACCTCTTAGAAAGAACTCGCAACTTAAGTCTGTGACCTCTTTTTTTTTTACACGTGATTAGGTAATAGGATACGAGTTGCGAGCGCGTGCCTTGAAATTAGGATTACTGCATGTCGAAATCCCTCGACCAAATGTGAATGAACATTTCCAATCCTTAACAACCCTAAGAAACACGACTCCTACTTGTTTCTAGGATTTGAATCGTGAGAAACGCCTATCTGGGACAAACTGTTTGCATCAAAACTAGCACGCCAACAAAGTTGGCAAGCTAGTTGCAGATATTCCTTTGTTGAGTTTAGGTTTAGGCCTATGTCGAGCTCTATTGTCAAGTTTAGCCGTTTTCACCCACATAAGTGTCAACGGGAGTGTTGTGTGGCCCCGTCCTCGCTTGGGCGGAGCCAACCTCGTGGTCGGATGTGCGGGGGATGCAGCCGACCTACAGCAGTGGGCACGGGGGCCACTGCAAGGGCGCCGAGCTGGAGGGCGCCTGGCTGGAGGGCGCCGAGCAAGAGGACGCCGTCCTGGACACCTGGTCGACGTCCTGGACGCCTGGACGGCGCCCTGGGAGGTTGGACGCTGACTTGGGCGTCTGCACGGCGTCCTGGGAGCCTGGACGCCGATCTGGGCATCTTGACGGCGTCCTGGGCGCATGGACGCCGAACTAAGGACGCCGGGCATGTGCAGCCGGCGACCGACTGAGCTGGTCGACCTGGCGAGGTTGCCCGGTTGACCAAGATACCCGGGCGACGTGTGCGAAGGTCGCCGGGGTGGATTCTGCAAGGCCGACCTCTGAAGTGGTATCCCGAGGTCGATGTTGCTGGTGTGCGCAGTCGCTGTCGTGGATTCTGCCAGGCGTCTGCGCTGTGCACATGACGAGGCGTGGTGCACCAACCAGCTGCACGCACCTGCGAAGCAGGTGCACTGTTGTTCTACGGGTGCAACGCTGTGCAGCCAACTTGCTGCAGCATTGGCACACCGTGGACTTGCAACGTTGGCGAACCGCTACTCTGCAACGCTGGAGCGGTGCGAGCGCTGCTACGCTGGAGCGCGGTCGATCATGCTGCGCTGGAGGTCGACCAGCAGCCTAGCTAGCTCTGATGTAGTCTGTGATGCCAATGTTGTTGCTACCATTGTTGTCAACTTTACTAGTAAAATTCTTGCCAATTCCCCCCGTGAACTAGCAAGCATCGTGAACACGAGGAAACGACTAAGGAACGAACGCTACGATCACTCCCACCCCGTGCCTAGCCCGTAGTCTAGCTCCCGTTGAATTAGTTATCTCCGCAATAAGCGTCCTTGTTAGGCGTTTCTTATGATTCAAATCCACTTGAAATCGAACATGTTAGAGTGCTGTTGTACCATTTTGCCTGAAGGCTCATAGCTAGCATACGTTTGGCTCTGTACATTTAATATGAGCGGCTTTTCTCTGCATCAAGTGCTGCATGCGCCAAGACGGCCCTTCTTCTGGTTTCAACACAAACAATTTACTGTTCGCATCAACACTAGCGCGCCGAAGTTGGCGAGCTGGTTGAAGGTTAAGCTCTATGTCGAGCTCTATTGTCAAGTTTAGGCCTAACAGTTCGGTTCGGTTCGGGTTCGATCTGGATGTGCTGAGCGGACCGGCCTTGCACGGACGGAACTGTGATACGTTTCATACTCATATCTGCCTCCCAGGCATGAGCAGGAAAGCCAACCCACCCCCATCGGAGGGTAATAAATTTGTTTTTTTTTGCGGCATTTGCCCAAAGCGCGGCAAACACGAACTCATGTGCCTGTTTGATATTAGGCATGAACGCGGTACTCGTCAAACCAGTGCGTCAATTTGGTACGCTGGTTCATAGTTGTTAACATGTCAATCTTTCGGCTTATACATGAGCAAATAATTGTACCCTTGTACGGTTCGACTCGAACCATGCCTAAAAATGTTCTGGCCAAACACCTCAGTGTTCAACCCCATTCTTTTCAGTTTAAATTCCACACTTTGGCAGAAAATGTCAGGGTAGGAAACGGTTCTAAACAGAGATTATGGGCATATCGGTTTAGGTTAGAGTTTTATAAGGCGAAATTGGAGACCCACCAGATCAGCGACAAGCCCTACTATTGCGCTTGTAGGGCTATAGAGAACGTGGAACATAGTTAGGATTCCTCATTTTGATAATAGGCCATTATGGAATTTGAGAAGCTTGATTAAGTGTTGGGTAGCAATGAGGACAAAGCCATTCTTGGCCCTCAATTCCCATCTCCTCACTTACTCCGCCCCAACCCATACCACGCACACACAGGTGTTTTCCAAACAACGCTTTAACGGGCTCCATTCCCAGTCAGGTTTACGGGCTTACTGGGCTCACGTATCTGTATGAAGCACGTCGTTTAGGCTTGATGCTAAGCATGCATGGTAAAAAATCTCCTGCTTGAAATTGAAACCCTCGAGAGAAAGTCGTTTGATGCCATGCCACTAGCAAGCAAGAGAACAAGGGGTTTCGGCTAATCAAAACAAGTATGGCAATGCCACTTGTAGTCAATCCAGGCTAAATATCCTGGTCACTCTAACTGAACTGCGATCCGGTTTGCACTCATGCCTCTCTCCCATAATGCTCGTGTTACCTCCCAATTGGGTCGACTGTTTGTGCTTGCTGTCTTTCATTGGGGGGCATGTCGCATTTGATGCAGATATTTAAGTTTGCCTTATGTAATCGATTTTTACCTTTATCTAGGTTGGATTGTGTAGTGGACTATCTGATTAGATGAGGTTCGAACTGCGGCAAGGGTCAAACATCGAGATTCGACCCTTGCCGAGGCGCGACTAGACCTCGGAGGTTACCCGGTGTAAACTACGTGGATCGGGCGTTGTTTTTTAGATCGGCACTGCTGATTCGTCGAGCATGGCAAAAAATGGCCACAATCGAATGTGTGTTCACGCACACGTTCACCAACAGATTCGACTTTCACTCTGTTGCCTTGACTTTCCATGTCAAAAAGTCGAACGTGGAAACTCAAGCAACATTGCTAAAGCTGGTTACCAGCAGAAGATCGACCTGTTTCTGAACCAGATTCCAAATGCAACACACCCTTTTTCCATGCCCTCGAACCTCATCTCCTCACTTATTCTGCCCTAACACACACCACCCACACAGGTCTCTTTCAAACAACATGTTGACGGGCACCATTCCCAGCAACATATTGACGCTTCCTCCGCTTGCTTATCTGTATGAAGCATCTCTTTTGAAGCTGGGGCTAAGCACGCGCGGCGCGATTAGTGGTTTCAACTTTATCAGTTGGAAGTAACTTCGAATTGTCTAGTTTTATGGGCTGACTACATGTTTGGCCATTGCCCCCCTTGCATATTTTGGTACAACCGCTGTTGCAATGATTGCTTCTATTCAGTTATAGGGTTGAAAAAAACTCCTTGAAGCTATTGACCAGCACTAGGATCGTCTGGTGCTCATCCTATCCCATGCCCAAGTCAGCCCGGTTCATCCCTATCCCAGGCCCAGGTTTGGCGCCCTTCGATGCACTCCGGAGTGTGTGATTCAAACCGCTTCGGTCAATTCGAGTCGACGTGGACCCGTTCGCCCGACCCAAAATCTGATTCAGTTCTATATTGTGGCTGCCTCCCACCATGCTCGTCTCATCCCTCAATTGGGTCGACCATATGTGCCTGCTGTCCCTCAGGCCATGCCCATTTTTCGCATTTCCTCACTTCTTCCGCCCCCAACCCACACCACACACAGGTCGTTTTTTAACAACAGATTGACGGGCTCCATTCCCAACAGCATCTCTCTTCTTACTCAGCTTACTTATCTGTATGAAACACATCAATTAACCTTCGTGATCAGCACACGAACATGATTAAATATTGCATGAACCCTAAAACCCTTAAGAGTACATCCTAGGTACATCCTAGGTCACATAACCTAGAAGTCACGCACAAGCATATATGTGGAGAAATTCCTGGGTAGTAAAAATCATATATGTCTAGAAATATGGATGCCAAGCCAAGGCTGTATCTCCCTCAACGCACCGCCTTTGCCCAACGCACTGCCAGGACCCAATTGCATAGAACCGGGTGTTCGGCTTGTTCGAGTCGAGCATGAACCGGTTCGCCCCCAACAAAACTGCGATTACCTGCCTCCTTCCATGCTCGTCTCATCCTCAAACTGGGGACAGAACGTGCTTGCTGTCCCTCAGTCCATCCCCACTATTCTCATCTCCTCAAATTCCTCCACACCAACCCATACCACACACACCCAGGTCTCTTTCAAACAACTACTTGACGGGCTCCATTCCCCGCGGCATCTCCGAGCTTGTGCAGCTCACTAATCCGTATAAAGCACCTCGTAGGCATGAACGAGGGAATGGCGAACATGTTCGTATTTGCCTTGCCTCGAACATGATGCTGCTTGCATCGTGGGTCACAACCCCGATGTGACATCTCAAATTCTCTGTAACCTCTGATGTGATTGATGAATTCGAAATGAACGTGACCGAAGCTAATGGCCAGCCAGCATTAGGTCGTCTTGCGCTTTCCCCCTGTCATCTTCCTCTCCTTCATCTTGTATGTTCTCCTTGTCATGGTCGATCAGGCGTATACATGGGAATCGCTTGGTTGGATCTCTTCCATCCTCTCTCAGCCGCTTGGTCAACCTGGTTAACCTGTAAGTATCATTACTTCAGTACTAGGCTGTCCCACCTACTACCATTGGCTTGTTGGCTTGTTGTTGGCTGTCACAGCACTGGGAGAACTGACTAAACGGCTGTACATCGTTAATATCACTGCGTTGCCATGTTGGTACAATCTTAAAATTCATGACTTGTGTGCTGTGCCGTCATGCCATCCATCCTTGTGCCCCTTCCCAGATCCATTCTCTTCTCAACCACCATGCTCCCTAAACTTAACCGTACCTTTCAGCAGCTATTTCTATCTCCATCTCTTTCCCCCTCCACCCTCCCTACGTTCATCTACTATAGCTTCTCCCATTCACTCCTAGTCCAATGCTGTTCGTTCTTCTCACCAATGTTCCCAACATGGCTCGCGCACCTGTTTGAATCTAGACTCGTTTTTTAAACATAAAGAATTTAAAATCTATCAAGGAAAGAAGGGTACACATACGATGCAAGAGAGAGGTGGAAGGGAAGGACGTGGTTGAGGGAAATTGGGTGGTTGCAATGGTCAAACACAATTGGTTGGTCCTACAATGTGTTGGGTAGAACAATCACAAGGTTGGGACCAATGTGGAATGACCACCAATCACCTCATTGCTTGTGTTGGGGGCTCCACCACAAAAGGGGAAATTGGCACCCCAACAAAAATCTACACCCAAATTGGGGTACCTGCCCAAATCAAGAGTAAACCACGATTGGTGTACTGTCACAGCATGCTACTATATAATAAAACATCGTCACACTCCCTTGGACTGCTTGCATGGGCTTCCTGACTAACCTGCCGTGCTACTCTTATTTCTTCACTTCTTTCAACCCACAACACACGATGCACAGGGATCTCTCATCTAATTCCCTGAGTGGCCCCATGTTGAGCAACTTCGCCTTCCTTGATGGCCTCACCTATCTGTACGAAGCTCACTAGAGTCATTGTATTATGTGCCGGGCCAAGCCTGCATTGCGCTCTCATCATGTGCCAAACATGCACTGTGCTCTCAGCGATCAATTCACTTTCATCATATGTGTGGCCCTCTACATGCTTCTCACCCCACTTGCTGTTCCAACGCATGCTGTGATGGGTAGTGACCAGTTCGATGGTGCACTTGATAGTTGCTACGGTGCAAGCTTCGTTTCTCTAGATGTTGCCTCTAGAGATAATTTAATCATCCCATTGTAACAACATGCCATTTTTAGTTTCTTGGGATGGTTGCACGCATTGGAACATGCAGCACTGAACAATGGATGCATGACTTCAAGTAAACGGATGGATGCATGGCTTCATGTGGATTGGTGGATGCACGTCGCTGTGTTCCTGCGTGCATGATTCTAACAGGGCTTACTCCTTCACTGAATGTCCAACCCATGTGAGCAGAAACATCTCTGCTAATAACCTCAGTGGGGAGATTCCACCCGAGATTGGAGGCCTTACTTCATTAAAGTACTTGTGAGTAGGCTTGAACAAGAACCAACTCGAACCAAACTTGTAACTCATGAGTATGCTTGAGCAAGCACTGAACCTGAATCAGACCTGGAACTTTTTGAAAATCCTTGAGCAAGTACCGGATCCAAAATGAGCTGTAAGCAGTGTGAGAGTGGCTGATCTAGTGCCGCAATGAAAGCTCATGGTTGGCGTAAGGAGAGCATTCTTGCAGGAGTTACAACAGTTACAATGCAACTGTTGCAGGGTGCCGTGAATCTCCCAGCCACCATCCCCATGCCGTTCCCACCTTGAGAACCAATTAGTCTACCACTATTTCAGTTGAGCTTGAAATGAATCCCTGAGCAGCTTTACTCAAAATTCCGCCTCTTGATCTCCCCTTCTCTTCAGAAACATCTCTGGTACCAACCTCACATGCCCACCTGACGACTCCGCCTGTGGCGTAACACAGTTGCCTACCACATCCTTTTGTCGCACGTGTAACCCCTTCTGCAATACTTGCACCAACCAATCTGCAGGCGAGTAGATAAACACCAGGCAATTATGATTTAAGAGTTGAACACAACAACACACGACGTGATGCATGGCGCAGTGCATTTTGCAGTTGAGAGTGTTGTTCCAGAAACTATCTCGGTATAGCAAGCGATGCATGGGAATGCTTGGCAACGCATGGTGAATGCATGGCAACGTATGGGATTGCATGGCAGCGCATGGGAATGCATGGCAGCGCATGCGAATGCATGGCACTGCATGGGAATGCATGACATTGCACGGCACAAGTAATGTTAAAAAAAAGAACCCTCACTTGCTAACTCTCTTACTGATCAACTTGCCGCAATTCTCTCTGCGTGCGTGAACCTATGCTCATGTCATTCGCAGAAATCAGCAGAGGCAGCAGCATCAGCAGCAGTGAGTCTTCTTCAGCAGGAGGTGGAGGTGGAGTGTCAGTGGGAGGCATCATTGGCATTGTTGTTGCTGCTGTGGTCATTCTCCTGCTTCTGGGCGCCACTCTGCTTTACGTCCGGCGCAAAAAGAGTATGCATGCTCGGATTAACCAGACTCTTTTGATGCAGTTGTGTGTGGCTGTTTGCAACGATGACGTTAAGTAGAGAACACGGTTTCCGTTTCATAAGCTTTGACATGACCGTGCAGGTCTGCAAGTCCAGTCATGCTCGACTCAACCAATGTTGAGACGAAATCAACCTCTCAAATCTCTGGCCTTGAAATGAATGAGATTGAATCGCCACAAGTACCGTGACTTGGCACACGCCAACTCGTGCTCAAGCCTGTTTCCCTTCACCCCGTCGTCTTCCCTTCTTTCACCTCTTTCACTCTGAGCAGGCACTGGCAGCATCCTGATCGACTCGGAATGCACGGAGCTCTCACTGGCAGAGGTCATTGAGGCCACCAATGACTGGTCAAAGGACAACCAGCTGGCCTCGGGTGCCTTTGGTGATGTGTTCAAGGGCGTGTCTCCCCGCGATGGCACAGAGTGGCCTGTGAAGCGCGCCAGGCTGATCGACATGGACTTTCAGAAGGAGGTTAGTGCGGCACAGATATGGAGGTCAGTGAGCCATGGTGAGCCATGATGAGCCATGGTGAGCCATAATAGAATGGCGTGTTCTGTGGCCGAAGTGTCATTTTCAATTTTTTATTTTCTATTCGACTCAAGATGCGTCGTGCTTTGGGGTTGTTCGTATTCGTAGATTGTGTCCTGCTATTAAAAAAACACGAAGAAAAAACATTAACAAAAGTCATCTGTCCTTTTTCGCTCTGCATTGGCATCCCTATTTTAATTTGTTCTTCCCGTTTCCCATCTGTTCCTCTTCTCTGCGACTCACCCTTCCTCTCTGGCTGTGTGGATCAGATCCAGCATATGGCCGACAAGAACCATCCCAACATTGTGAGACTTCTTGGCTTTGCGATCGGGGGAGACTTGAGGTCACGGGCAGAGCAAGCTCTCATCTATGAATACGTGCCCAATGGCGACCTTCGCAAGTGGATTGATCCAGGTAAGTTTGCCACTCCAGTGTGATCTCTGTCTGTGTTTTGCAGGTGTTGTGGAGTGCCTCATATGCTGTGACACTCATATTCTGTGCCACTCAAATTCGATGCCACTCATGTTGTGCCACTCATGTTGTGCCACGCTTGCTGTGTCACTTTCTCCTTGCAGATGCCGAACGCCCTCTGACTCAAAAGCAGCGGCTGGACATTCTCACTGGCATGGCACAGGGCGTCGAGTACCTCCACAGCATCGTGCATCGCGACATCAATCCTGCCAACGTCCTCATCACCGACAGCATGCAGGCAAGCTTGGTTGCGGTAGATCGTTTTGGTGTCAGAATTATTTCCTTGGTGCAGGCAAAGCTGTTCAAAACTTTTGTCAACCTACTCATTCGAGACTGGATAAGTAGCTAATGATGATGTGACCAAATCCTGATTGGCAAACCAAAGTAGACATGAGCAAAAGACAAAATCAAGCGTGTTTGCCTCAAACACAATGAACACTTACTTTAGGCAAACTGAACGCATTCGAGTTCGGTTTGCTATGAACGATTTTTTTTTCAAAAAAGCGTTCGTGTTTGCCTCGAACCTGAGTGTTTGTCTTGAACCCGAATGTTTGGCTCGAAACCATTTTTTTCCGAATTCGAGGAATCACTCGAGGACCGGGCAGGGAAAGCAAGTTTGCGACATTCCACCTTGTCAGATGCTATTCAAAGTGTCGCGGATTTTTTGTCACACCACTGATTTCGCCAATTTCCCAGCCAGTCCACCCCATCCAAAGTCCCACCGTACTGCAATGCACCTTCCAAATCAAACCCGCGTTCTCTCTTCCGTATTTCCGTATCTACTCTAATCGTACTCCTGGCGTGCTGGATTTAACTCACCACTTTCCAGCCCAAGTACTTAGCGGAAGAACTAACTGACTTAAAACAAAATGGTCCTACACAGTTGTATTTTAACACGGTTTGAGTATTGTGGCTGAAAGTATCGTAAATCGAGCTCTAAACAGAGCTTAATTGTTGACATTCCTGCCCAAGTAGAAAACCAGCACGTCAAATCCGACGTGCTGATTTTGACGGAACCCGTCAGGTTCGTTCCAAATGGCTTACAAAGGTGAACACTCTTATGTTTTGGCAAAAAAACATCTTGCTCAAAATGTCTCAGATCTTGGTTAGGCTATGCAATCATACTCTTGTATGCATTTACTGTTGTGCACTACCCGACACCATTATGGCTGAACTCAATATCTCATTTCTTACTGCAACCATAGATTCAACTTTACTCACAAACCATGCCCTGTTGTGGATAGCACCACCCGCAAAAGGACCCTTGGGATGGATATGAACCTGTACAAAGGAAGCTCCCACCCTGTTTTACACTTCCTCCCGGTCATCCAAGCCTTTGCACTGGGAAGAAGAGGTCCCGGAGCCCATCCGAGCCCGTGCAAGGGTGGATTTGAACCTTGGCCAGTTCATTGGAGCGTTTACTTCATTCCAGCCGGTCAAAAGGACCCTTCGGATGGATAGGAACCCTTACAAAGGAAGCTCCCACCCTGGTTTACCCTTCCCCCCGGGCTCATTAAATCCACCAGGCAAAGATTGCAGACTTTGGGCTGGTGCGGACGGGGGAGGGCTCTTTTGTGGGCACGACGCGCATCATGGGCACACCGGGCTATGTGGATCCAGCCTACTTCAGCACGTGCAAGGCCACCACTGCCAGCGATGTGTACAGGTGAGGCCGGGGTGTGTTTAGGTGAGGCAGGGATGCGTACAGGTGAGGTAGGGATGTGTACAGGTGAGGCAGGAGTGTGTACAAGTGAGGCTGGATACCCTTAGAAAGCTTTGCAGGAGTTCCTTAGAAACCATCGAGTCCCGTATAACATTGCAGCAGACCCTTAGAAATCATTGCAGAAGCCCCTTGCAATGCATTGCAAGAGTCCCTTGGAAATCATTGTAGGGGATCCTTAGACCGGATTGCATGAGCCCCTTAGAAAGCATTGCATAATTCCCTTCTGTATGATGGCAGGAAACCCTTTAAAGGCATTGTAGGAGTCTCTTGGAAAGCATTGTGGGAGCCCCTTGGAAATCATTGCGCACGTCCCTTAGAAACCATTGCAGGAGTCCCTTAGAAAGAATTGCGGGAGTCCCACTTGAAAATCATTGCAAGAGAACCTTAAAGGCATTGTATGAGTCCCCTAGAAAGCATTGAAGAGACTCTTGGAAAGCATTGCAGGGACTTTTGGAAAGAATTGCAGGGGAACCTTAGAATGCAGGAGTTCTTTAGAGGCTTTTCAAATCATTGCGGGAATCCCCTGATAAGTATTTGAGGAAGCTCCAAGTGCTATGTATGTAACGTCAACGAACCTGTGCACGTTGCATTGAGGTAGCAAGATGCATGTAAAGTGCCTCCGTCTCTGGCTTTTTCTGTGCATCGTGTGCCCTGATCATGATGTGCCTTTAAACTCTTCTTTTCAGCTTTGGAGTGCTCATGCTGGTCGTGTTTACACGACGCCTACCATTTGTGGAGGCTGATGATTCGGGTCAGCTGGTCACAAAATGGGTAAGCACCTTAACCATGAGACCAGGGTTTCTGTGATGGCGCCGTCTCAATGACAGAAAGGAACACCCCTCGCTGCAGGGTGGTTGGTTGTGGTATTTCTTACGCACATCTGGTTTTGTTAGTGGTCTTCTCAAGGCTTGCATATCACTCTGAGGGTAAGAACATTCCACTTCTACACGAGAGCTTAAATACCATCTTCTCAGTGACATCTAAGGGGTATTCTGTCCACACCTTCTTGTTGACCTGGCTAACCTTATTCCGTTTGTGATTTCTCCCATCCGCTCCACTCCCGCAGGCGTCGGACTGCCTCTCCTCGGGGGACTTGGACAGCCTCAAGCACCCCACCATGGACGCCCGTGCAGATGCTGTGATGCGTGTGGCTCAGCTCGCCCTCTCCTGCACCGCAGAGCGCACTGCAGCCCGCCCAAGCATGGCACATGTCGCCAACGAGCTGCATGCTATCCGCGAGGAGGTGGTGGGGAAAGAGGAGCTGAGCGCGGCAGTAAAGGTGGATGTGCAGGTCAAGGAGAAGGAGGCTGTAGCCAGTGCGTTAAGCCTCGACGAACAGCTTCAATTTCTTGATGGCAACTTGGCTGAAGGAAAAAATATGTTTAGTATTGACAAGTAGCAGTTTCCATGTTACGGCTGTGTGAATGTCAAAATGCGCTACTAGTATCGTAATCCCCCAGATCAAAGATCCTATATGATATATACCAGGGCCTACGATATCAGGATAAAATATCTTGATACCCTGATTTTCAGGGTTTTGCTAGGTGCTGTGCCCTGAAAAAACAGGATTTAATAAAAAAATCTCTTCACATTCAGGATAGTGATAAATTGTTGCCCTGAGCTGAGGCATTAGGATATCTGTCGGGGGGGTGCCATGATGAGGTTGTGAAGTAAGAAACAGGAATGAATGAGAGAAGAGAGGAAGTGAGAGGTTCACTAGCAAACATTGGGATACATATAGCAAACCCTAAAAGGGTTGTACTCACTATAGAGTACCCCACTGCAGACTAGAGAAACATAATATTCTGACACACCCCCATAGTCAAAGTGGGGTGTAATCAGCACAAGAAGCAAAGCAAAATAAGCTCAGGGTGGATCACAATGTCACCACACATTCTGAGCACAAGCAACAGTTTAAAGTTCACAATTATAAGCCAAGCTAGAGGCTATCACAGAGGGCAAGTGAGGAGGAGGCGGGACTGTAAGAGGAGAGGAGATAGGAGGCGACGGCTGAAGCTGCAGACACACGGGCAACAGGAGTCACACTGGCACAGTGGCTACCGGAACAGCGCCCCGGACTACAGGAGTAACTGGCTCGGCGGCTAACTCTGAGCGGCAGGAGCAACGGACCCACGGGCGACTGGCGCAGCTGACTACGACTGGGCTACCGGAGCAGCGCCTCGGACTACTGGTGCTGCTGACGACACGACGACCGCCTCCATTCAACCTCCCCCAACTGTCCCACCCCCCTTTCACACACCCCTTGCTGCACCTCTAACTCTGCTCACACGCCACACCCTAGCACCACTCCGTCAGCTCCCACACACCCACCCCCTAGCACCACTCCATCGGGGTGACGCGACGGGGTGCCGCGACGGGGGCCGCGACGGGGGGCCGCGACGGGGGGGGCCGCGACGGGGGCCGCGACGGGGGGGGCCGCGACGTGGGGCCGCGACGGGGGGCCGCGACGGAGGGCCGCGACGGGGGGCCGCGACGGGGGCCGCGACGGGGGGGGGGGGGGGGGGGGGGGGGCGCGACGGGGGCCGCGACGGGGGGCCGCGACGTGGGGCCGCGACGGGGCAGGGTTGGGCGACGGGGCAGGGCCGGGCGACGGGGCAGGGCCGGGGCTAGGTCGTGACGGGGCCGCGACAGGGCCGCGACGGGGTCGCGAATGGGGGGCCACGAAGGGCCGCGACAGGGTCGCGAAGGGGCCACAAAGGGCCGCGACAGGGTCGCTAAGGGGCCACGAAGGGCCGCGACGGGGTCGCTAAGGGGCCACGAAGGGGCCGTTAAGGGGCCGCGAAGGGGCCGCGAAGGGCGCTTCGGGCAGCAGGGCAGTAAAAAAAAAGTTTAAGTGGTGGGCCCGAGGAAGAATCGAAACTAGCTCTATACCATGTGAAGTAAGAAAAAGGAATGAATGAGAGAAGAGAGGAAGTGAGAGGTTCACTAGCAAACATTGGGATACATATAGCAAACCCTAAAAGGGTTGTACTCACTATAGAGTACCCCACTGCAGACTAGAGAAACATAATATTCTGACAGAGGTTACAATAGTAAGGGGTGTGGGGGTGGTGAAGGAACCTGTTATTTTACTGGAGTCGGTTGTCGCAAGCAAACGTGTGTTACCAGCAACAATGCTGCCGTTGTTCACACAGCCACCACCGTACACTGTAGAAGCCCATAAAATGTCAGTATAGAAGTGCCCTGAGGTACCGTAATCTCCCGAATAGGCCACCCTACCTTACGGTCTTATCAAGTTAAAAAAGCAAACAATGTTGCTACTCGGGTGCCTTCATATGAGATTTTTTTTTTTTTTTGCCGAATTGAACGCAATCAAGTTTTGGTGTTTCCTGATGTACTTGTAATTTAAATCAGTGACGAGAAAGTATATATACGCCGATAACTTGCTCTGCTGGTGCTTTTTCCCCCACGTGGCAAGTGAATGGGTGCGTTCCTTGCAATATTGCCAGTGTGTCACCGCTAGTCCGTATTACCACCGCTGCAAAGTGTGCAAACCTTGAAGAATTCGCCTAACGGGACCGCATGCATGCCTCACCTGCACAAATCCTTCCAATCCAAGGGCCCGATTGGGTTTGACCCGGCCTTTCTATTCCAAGCTTTGCTTCGTGCAATGGTTGAAAGACGTCCAGCTGAACGTCAGTGTCTTGTGCTCGGCAGACTGTGCGAGATTGTTTAGGAAGATGGTTTCTTCTTGCCTCTAACGCCTCTCAACGATGCTATCACTGACTTTGTTAAGAAGTAGTACACAAATCCCGCCGTAGCTATGATGGCCACCTCGCCAGATTCAGCCTTGGCGTTCATCAGACCTGCGTTTGATGCTCGTCCAAGCCCTGTTTTCTTCGTCATACCCACCCCGCACCCTGTTCTTCCCACGGCTTCTCCCACTGGCAGCAACTCACCGAGTCCTACCATTACATCTGATGACCCTACAGACGAACCTCCTAGCACTGATAACAGCACACTCGGGGCTCGTCCTCCTCTGCCTCGGGTTAAGGTTCCCATCTTCTCGGTGCGGCGCCGTCCTCAGGCCCCTAAGGCGCGCAACGTTGACATTGGTCCACCTTCACCGCGTCATCTGATGACCAAGCGAACGCGTCACGCGTATACGGCATCCGAGAAGCTCTAATGGCTTGCAATGCACGACACGCAACCCGATCTCTCCAACCGAGCACTGGCGAAACTGGCGGGCGTTCAACCTTGCCAGATTCGTGACTAAAAGCGGAAGAGAGAGCAGCTGCAGGTGGCGGCTGGGTGTCGGCGTCACCTCGTAGGTGTTGGGAGCCGTGTGGGCATCCTTGTCGGCCCCCCATGCAAACAGGGAAGGTGGGCCGGCAAAGGTTGTTAACAGAGATGTGGGTGGAGGTGTTGGAGTGCATGAGGCGAACCCAGGCGATAAGCTGCTCTGGAAGTCCCAACACAGCGAGTGCTCGAAAGAGGAAGGCACGATTGACCAGATCATAGGCCTTGCGGAAGTCGACAATTAAGGCGATCAGGGATATCTTGGTGGTTGTGCTCTAATTGAAAATGTTGAGGGCATCGTTGATCATTTGCCAATTTTCCTGTTTAATTTTATAAATGCGGTATGGGAGGGGTTTATTATTACTGGGGGGGCAAGCTGCAACCGATTGGCGATGCAAAGGGCCAACACCTTATCATCAGAGTTCGTGAGGGTGACGAGGCGAAGGTTGTTGCTCAGGATCTGTCATTTTCAGAGCTTACGAGGAACTCAAATTTCAGCTAAACACAAGTACGCTCCGTAGGATTGCACGCGTTGGTCTTATCTACCATATCCATATTGAATTATGCAAAAAGAGGGTTTAGAGAGTGAGAACATCTTGAAAACGCATAGCTACTGCTTTTACTAAAATGTTACCTAAACGTTGTGTCTCTATTACAATGTTGAGCAGGTTAACAGTCAGATTGTAGTTCCATTGATGTCGGCCTGTTTCAACAATCTCGCTTTCAACATAATCGCAGCCATCTTCGACTTCTTAATAATCAGGTAATAGAATATCCTCCACGATCGACTTCCCTCCCGCTCCTAGAGGCACGGGCACAGGACTGGCGCCAGGAGTCGCTGCTGCAGGCGCTAATGAACCTGGGGCTACGGATGGTGCCGTGCTGTTAGAACAAGTGCTACAAGCCGACGCTTGAGAAGACCGAGCACGAGAGCTATTTTCAGCACCTGTTGACCACTCCCGCAGACTGACTAGTAGTCTAGATCTGTCCAATGGAGAAAGTAGCGAAACCCTTGAAAGGTTGGGGTTCAAAATCCTTAGGAACTTGAAACGTTTGGGCTAATCCATGAGGCACATTGTAAAACCTGAAACCCCATTGAAAAATGTATACTCGAGCTTTAAATCGAGAGTGGGCTGTTAGGTTAGAGGGAGAATGTTGGCAGTGACGAGTTGGGTTGACGAGTTAGAGGTGGAATGGTGCATTTGCAATCGCAGATCTGCCAACGAGAATTTTGGGGTGTACCTGTATGAGGTACGGTTCGATGTTACCCTAATCTCCCCAATCCCAAGTCCATCCCGTTGCAATTCCACGTGAGGGGGGGGTGGTGGAGGGAAAGGGGGGGGGGGGGGGGGGGGGGGGGGGGGGGGGGGGGGGGGGGGGGGGGATGCGATGGATTTGGCTTGGGCACAACCTTGGCTGGACGCGAATGCGCGGGGCTGTTTTGTCCGTGCTAGATTCTATCAGAAATGTGTGCGTTCGACACGAATTTCTGATTCCGTTTGGTTTGGATGGAATCGTAGGCTCGGCAAGAGTTTTTTTGGCATACCAACCTAACGAATGCTATCAAACCCTAATGGACGGGATCAGGAAGCCGTAACTGTCCTTCCTGATTCCACCCATTTTGTTGTTAAAAGCGTTGGCGAACAGCGCCCCGTCAGCCCCCTTAGCACCCCATCCATCACCTTTTGGAACAGTAGGGAGGCGTTCTTCAAGCCGAAGGGTATCCTGTTTCATTTGTATGCCCAATCTGGCCCGTGAAAGGACGTTTTAGACTTGTCTCCCTCAGCTATGGGGATTTGGTTGAAGCCCTGCCGCATGTCTAGCGTGGAAAACACCCCTGCCTCTGCCAGCTGATCGAATATCTCATCCACCATCGGGGTAGCGTACCTCTCCGGCACCGTCACCTTGTTCAAGTCTCGGTAGTCGCCGCACATCCTCCGAGATAACACCGCCTCTGTCAAATCCATCCTGGCTGCCACCATCGTTGCCACTACGTAGCTTGACGCTGTGCGGCAAATTATTCCAGCCTCCAGCAGCTCCAAACATTATTTCTCCTTGCACACTTCTAGGTCTTGTGGGCTCATTCTACGCCTTGGCTGGTACACAGGTATAGTCTCCTCGCCCTCATGGTCTCCGCTT